TCACAGGCCACACATGGTGATTTTTACAGCCCCTTGGGTTTTGCTGCAACACAGGAACAGTGCTTACATGGGTGGTGAAGATGTTTTTGTAAAGCCATGGAAAATGTTGGTGAGTAGACAAGATTTCAGACTGTCACCAGCACAGATGTATCTGTGCATTGTTTTCCTGGTTTCCGGGCTCCTAAACATGCCACTACAACCAACAATTTTCCTCTCCTTTTTTCCTTTGCTTCTACAAGTATCTTAAACCAAACCCCTCCTTCCCAGCAGGACAGAACACACTGCTGGGTATGGGATAAAAAAAATCAGGATTTTGAATCCATCAAGGAGAAACAGGGGAAAAAGTTTCTGTTGGATGTGAAGCCAACCAGGACCTGCAGCGCCGAGTCCGTCCCGTCCCCCCTGCCCCGTCCCAGCTCCGCCGTGCCAAGCTCGGGGCAGAGGTGAAGTGGGGAAACGCTGTGTGGAAGGACCCTCATGGCCCTTTCTCTGCTGAGTGGGGTGGAGGCCCACGCAGGGATTACGTGAGCACACGGCCAGCGCTGGGAACTGTCCCCCGTGACTTTGTCCTCTCCCTCCTCCCGTCGTCTCCCGCAGAGCAGAGCAGAGTGTTGCTTGCTGGGGCCAGAGGAGCGGGAGCAGACGGCCCGTCCGGGGTGAGTGTGAGGGGGGACGTCTCTGGTGGTGGCAGCAGTCGGTAGGTTTTACCTGGCCGGCACAAAACACATTCAGCAGGTGCCAGTGTCAGCGGCGCTGAGATAAACAAACATCCCCGAACAAAGGACCAGGGGGCATTTTTGCATAGGTCAGGTGTTTGTCAAAGAACAATAGGAGATGTAGAAAATTTAGCTGGTCAGTATGGGACCTGTTTGGACCCAGGTCTCCTCTCCTGGCCCTGGCAGTGAGGCCTTTCACTGCATCCCCGTGCCCGTGGGCCTTCAGGAGCCGCCCGTGTCCCCGTGTCCTGCCGGCAGCGCGTCACCCTGGCTGTGCCCCCATGGCCAGAACAACCCCCCTGGGCAGAGGAGCTGCCCCGCGTCCTCCCTGGGGGGTGAAGGCGGCACCAAGAGGCTGCAGGTTTCCTTGTGCTGCGTGTCGGGGGCTGTTCCGCTCTGAAAGGAGGGTGAGCACATGCTGGTGCTCCTGTGGGTTTTCCCTGTAGGAAAGTTACAGTATTGCACGGGAAAAAATTACACATTTTAGAAAGAGAAGAGAAATTCAATCGTCAAGGAGTTTTGCAGGGGAAGGAGGAGGAAACAGAAGAACGTGGTTCGATTCCAGAGTCTTAGGTCCCCGTGCTCCCTGGCCGTGCAGCGAGCGAGGCCCAGCCGGTGCTGCCTGGGCACAAGCCCCCCCGCACAGACCCTGCGTGGGGATGACGGAGCGTGTGGCCTGGGGTACCCCCCACCCTGGTCTGTACCCCAGGGTGCCGAGGATCCAGGGCACTGGCGGCGCTCAGCCACCCGGTGGGCAGCTCAGCCCCACCACCGCCCAGCTGGTCCCAGCACTTCCAGAGCCACGGAGGGTGGGGGGCTGCGCCCCCGGGGCTGGGCATCGCTCCCCTGCAGCTGCGGGCGAGGACGGGGTGAGCGGCTGCCGGCGGGACGCGGCATCATCAGAGCTGCTGGCAGAGCCGGGTGGTGCCCGCTGCGCTGCGTGATTCAGTCTGGTGCCGTTATGCCTCTGTTTAGGAGCACTAAATTTGTTCACAAATCTGAAAGGAAACAAAGGGTGCTCTTTTAAAGTAAAAATGCCATTCACAAGTTCTGTAACATGTATTATATCTGAACTTAATTTTAAAAGTGACCTTTAAGCATTTTAGGTCACTCACTCTGATGCTAGATACACTTTTCTCCAATGAATCTCATTTTAACTGTTGCCTTAAATTAAGTAAATTCTCCACCTGCAGGGCTGGTAACAACAATCACATCTTCCAGAGATTTTCTGGTTGTTCAGTGTGAGTGTGATGTGCAGACCTGTCAATCTCCTTCACCAGCTCCGAGCTCAGCCGTGCCATGAGCCCCGACGTCCTGCTGTGTTTGTGTGCTTTTTCATCTCAGATCCATCTTCCCAGGGAAGGTGGTTTGCTCTGGCTGTGTGGGAAGTGTTCGGCATTATCTCCTAACTATGTTCAGATGTTCTTCTTTAATTGATCTTGAATCGTTAAAAAGGCCTAATCAGTAGTGGAGCTGTGCTCCTATAAACGTGATCTCAGCCAGCAGGCAGGGCCTTTGCTACTGAGCCCAGAAACGCTGAGGCTGTGCAAGAAGAATTTCCCACCCTGTTTCCTAAAGCTGGAGTTGTGTGTTGCTGAGGAGGCACAGGCACAGACACGGCTCATCTGTTCCCTGTATGTAAAGGTGGGAAATACAGAGTTTGGAGAGCTGGTGCTGCCTGAGTGCTCGGAGACTTGGCCAGAGGCACTAAACTTGGGTGGGTGCTCCAGGGAGGATCCTGCTGCAGCCACAGTCAGATCAGAGACGGGGGGTTTGTGTAAGCAGAAGCTGGAGCAGCTGAGGCTGGAGCGTGCAGACTGCAGGCCAGGGCCCCCCAGGCTCCCACGCCAGGATTCTCATCCCGTGAGCCTGCTGGCTTTTCCTGGCTCTCCAGATCGTTACCCCAGAGGCTTGTTTCTGGTCCTCCTGGGGGATCTGAAGCTCACGCATCAACTCTGGCTCCCAGGTGCCCGGGGCAGCCCCCCTCGGCCAGACTCCCAGCACTGACGTTCCCCCCCTTGCCCACGTCTGCTGGTGACAGCAGACAGACGGTCAGTGAGGAGAGAGCTGGGGTGAAGTGGAGCTGAGGTGCCTGAAGGCCTGTTATCACCCTGCCCGGAGTGGCAGGGCTGGGGAAAGGGAGGAGGAGGCTGGAAAGGGCTCCCCTTACCCACCAGCGCTGTGGCGCCATGGGCACTCCTGCTGCCCCTGCCGAGCAGCCCCTGACCCTCTGCGGAGGGAAAGCAGCACCTTCTCCGCACCCCAGGTAGCTCGGGACACGCAGAGGAGCTGGGGGCCTGTCCAGCCGTGCCAAAATGCCGCATGCAGGGGCACAGCTGGGTGCTGGTGACCCGGGAGGAGCCACGGGGCGATGACAAAGGCAGAAACCTCACCGCCTCCAACAGGTAAAACAGCCTGAGGGGGGCTGGCACCAGCATAGTAGTTCTGCTTTTACCTTTCAGATTGTCATTGTGGATGCTTGTGTGGAGGGGAGACAGAGGGGACAGTGGATCTGAACAGGCCTGTGGCTTTCTGTTTGCGCAACCCCTGGGCATGTCCCTGCCAGCGCTCGAGGGCCCGTCAAAGGAGCTGGGAAGGACACAACCTGTAAATAGTGATACTCAAGGCACCCTCTGTAAATTTAAGCAGAAAAGGAAAAAGCCCATGTGGGCTCACCATTTTCCTTGACAGTCTCCACTTTGCACCTTGAATTTCATAAGCCATTATTCTCCTCTCTAGTAGTGAGGTACAACAAAGGCAGAGCGAGCAGGCTCCGAGGGATCACAGGCAGCCCTCAAAGCAGCATCTCTGCCATGCAGAATCAAAACCCAGCTCTTGTTATTTATTCACCACAGAGAAAAAAGAACTGCTGAACCACTGCGAGGAGAAGGAAA